CATCGGTAGCACGGTCAAGAGGATGAGCGTCCTGGTGTCTTTCCACATAGGCTCGTTAGCCGAAGTATTTTCGCCGGGAGACCCTGCCGGTAGTTCCAGGGCTGATTTTTTTTTTTACTTCGGGAATTACCCCTACGTCGTCCCACGGGTCCGGGGCATTCGGCGCCTACCGGGCTATTTTTTGGCCCGGCCGGGACCCGAAAAGAATTCATATCTGACTAAAATTGTACACGGGCCTCGCTTACACAAGCACGCGTTTCCCTGCCGGAATCCACAGAGGTCACTATTAGACATCGTCAGAGCATCTGCCGGGCACCTGTCAAAAACCAACCAATGAGGGTGACAACGGCACCCCTGTAGGGCAGTGTAAAGGCTATTTGAATTTCGAAAGTCGGCGGCCTGTAGACCCTAGAGCCTAAATCCCCGACGGGCACCGGCGTAATTGGAACCAAAGCTTAACTCAGACCAGCGTGTTCAGGTCGGCAAGATAGAAGAGAATAGCAATGCTTGAAATCAATTGAAAGCAACGCGCTAATCTGTTGTTACAGTGCGGACTGGCTGGCTCATTATTGACATCATTAGGATTGCACACTACCGTGGTAAAATAAATAGGTTAAGAACGGACAAAATAATTAAAAAAAAACAGTTAACAAAGTATATAAAAGCTCTTCTCTAAACAAGCTGTGACATATTTCTCTCGGAAACTGTAACATGTTGACGAATAATGTTGAACATTGTTTTAAACCTCCTTGGCTGGGCTGAACAAAAACCAAGAAAAGTCTCTTCCTTGTCTGCCGCTCAAATTTGGCGGGCAATTATTACGCTTAAAACGCCCAACTCATACAATGGCCGCTTTGGCAACGAAATTTGATACGTATATGTATTTCTTTTTTTAAGAAAGGGGGCTAAAATATGCTTTCTTCAGTTATGGAAAATAGTCATTTTCGACAAGGACGGGCTTATTAAGAGTCCAAGAAGCACTATACTGGGATAAGACAGACGAAATACTTCAGCGTCACAAAATTTTCTTCGTCAAACATGGCGGACGTTCTAGCTGATCGGTCGTGTGCGCACGTGCGTACTCGTACCAAGAAATTTACCCATACTGGCTAAGAACCTCAGGGCATCTGTCATCAAGGGAATTTCGCTT